TTTTTACAAATGTTTGTAGTGGCATACGGCCTGTTTTCTCTCAAGATTAAGCGAGCAAGATTAGCATTCACGTTTGTTTGTGTGGGCCGACTTGTGGGAGTGTATTATTTGGGTATGAGTTGGCTTCTGTTTAAATACAGGCTTTATTGAGTGATTTTGCAACTGTGGTTTGAGTTGTTATTTTTTGGTGTTACAAAAATGGCAATAAGCAAAAATACATTTACTGATTTTTACCCTTCATTTATCTTTATAAAATTACACCATAATGATTTAAATAATGTAAAATACCATCTTAAAAAATATTGACTGTTGCGTCCATTTGCTTTTATATTTTCTCTTTTTAAAGCAGTAACCTTTTCGATTCCTCATGCAGAGAGAAAAAATAAAGGCGTGACATTTGGGCCAAATGGATTTTTGTGCATTACAGCGCTGCTCTGTATGAAAAGCAGGTGCACATGATCTTTGAATTCAATCTCACAGGTCATTGTGTGCCGGCCTGTTAATACGTTGGCTATGGAATTGGTATCCACCCCATAAAAATGTGTTCACTGACAGAATGTTAAAAGAAAAAAAAAACTGTTAAAGTGGGCAAAACAGGTGTTGTATCTTACAATTTGGATTTAAAATAAGTGCTTTTAAGAGATTGCCATTTTGGTGTCATGAGCAACAATATAAAATATTTAACATCTCTTGTCAAGCTAAAAAATATTTAACATCTGTTCTCATGCAAGCATTTCTTCGCTCACTCGTTTATCAAAATGAACAAATCTTTTTTTGTGTGTGTCATTTGGTTCATTCAACGAACGAAATGAACTAATTGACTCTGGAAAAGATTTGTTCATTTTGATAAACGAATTCGAACAGGAGAGTCACGAACGTGCATCACAGAACAGAGCAAGGCAACCATTTGAGCTTATAAAACTTAAACTTTGTTGTTGTTTTTTTTTAAATGAGCGATCGTTCATTTAAAAAAAAATCGTCTGGAATCGTTTAAAGCCCTTTGAACAGTTTGCACTGAAACTGCCTTTTGGACCTTGAACCGTTTGGTTCCCAGTAAAGTGCATTATATGGAGAAAAATCCTGGAATGTTTTCATCAAAAAATGTAATTTCTTTTCGATTGAAGAAAGAAAGACTTGGACATCTTGGATGACATGGGGGTGAGTATTATCAGCAAAAGTTTTTTTTTTTTTTTTTTTTTTTTTTTTTTTTTTTTAAGTTAACTACTCCATTAAGGCTGGCCAAGTTTCCATTGCTAAAAATATTTAAGTTGAGATTGCATGACAATTTTAAGCTCAATTAATGAATACGCTTATATTTCAAGTTAAGGGAAATTAAAATGTATGTGTACAAAATAAAAATCTGGCTGTTCTGCTTACTTAAATTGTGAATTGTTAACTTGAAAAAATTTATGAAACTGATGACCTAAAAAGAAAATACAGTTGCGCCAACTGATTTGGATTTAATGTGTTCTTCTAAAATTGACAAGTCATGCAGCTTTTTGAGGAGCAATTACCATTTCTGTCAAAAAATCTTTGCAATGCATTGGATTATAATCCATTATATTGGATTATATAACACTGCCAACCACCACTAGTTCTAATAATATGTAAGATTGCCTATACATGACATGGGCACTGTAATGTATACTTACACCATTCTTCATTTGAAGTTTTCATCTTTTATTATTCCAATTATTGTAGAGCTTTGGTTTGAACTTTAGCTTGTTCCCTTACATCAGTGTTTTCTGACCCTTCAAGATCAAGTGTTGCTGTAAATAATCATTTTCTCTTTTATTCTGGAATCTGTATGGATGACACTGGGAACTGATAACTGTTTCAATGGTGGCTTTCTTTAGAAAAGTAATATTGTTAACGAAAGTAAGGAGCATCAAGTTAGCATAATATTTATTCTAGCCAGCCTAGATATGAAATGGACTTGTCAGGGGTGGGTCAGCTGGAAAATGTTAGAAATATTGCTTCTTCTTTTGGAGAGAGCAATTCCATCTATGGCATATTAGCCCTGTTGCTATGCTTTGAGAAATCTGTGTGTGACAGAAAGCCTGTTTTAAACCTGTTGCCTAAACTTAACCAGGCTTCTGTCCTCCCGCTTAACTCAGGCCAAGTATTTGTCTTTCATTTCTAGTAGTGAATTGCTTTTTAATTCCCTCATCATATGTTTGTTCTCGACTGGCGTCGGCTTGGCCCTGTACGTTTTGAAAACCTTGATCATTCTTTCTCATTTCTGCTTGTTTTGAGTAGCCAATGATAGTAACCCATTCTTTCCTGATCTAATCAAATTCCAGAGGGAATGCACAGGATATATCCAGTCGAACTGTGCACATATTAATTCCTCTCAGTGAGGGAATTGCTCGGTTCTCTATAAGACGCAATGGAAAGCAAAAACTCTTGATATTGATTTTTGGGAGGGAAGAATAATTCCAGCTCCCGGCTAGATGAAAATGAAGTCATAGATCAGTGGAAGGCTTTCTCTCAAAAGCACCGAGAGTGATCAAAAAGCCGATGAAGAATATCATTGTTCGTCCTCCCTCTCCTTCACTTTCATGCCGTATTTTGGCCTCGTGAGCTTCACTGTCTACATGGATTAGTTTGAAAAATATCCACAGAGTTAAAATGCCTCTGCTACTATGAATTGCCATTTATCCTCACAGATATTTTCAATTTAGAGAAGAGCTTTCAAGTTCTGGCCAAACCAAACGAAAGCCTCAGACATTCTCTTGAGAGCTTTCCTCTCCTAGAAATATTGCAGCTATTCTTCTGAAGCCTGATGCTGATGAACTGGATTTACATGTTTAGCACGTTAATTTCCTTTTTTTTTTATCCTGTTTGTTTAGCATTTCCAACTGAAATCGAACTGATGTTACTAGTAATTCTAAAAATTTAAAATCTAATGATCTCGCCTTCGCTTCTTTGTTCACCATTGATTCAGATCAGATCACTCTTGTCAGTCTAATCAAAAACAGGCTACATGCTGTAGTGTGTTTGATGCTTTAATTCACACGGTCTCACCAAATTTTGGAAAAATGTTGCCTGGTCTGATGAGTCTCGATTTCTGCTGCGACATTCAGATCCATCATGCCTTGTTACCACTGTGCAGGCTGGTGGCGGTGGTGTAATGGTGTGGGGGATGTTTTCTTGGCACACTTTAAGCCCCTTAGTGCCAATTGGGCATCATTTAAACACCAGAGCCTACCTGAGTATTGTTTCTGACCATGTCCATCCCTTTATGACCACAGTATTTCCATCTTCTGATGGCTACTTCCTGCAGGATAACGCACCATGTCACAAAGCTTGAATAATCTCAAACTGTTTATTTAGAAAATGACAATGAAAATATAAGGCCTCCGTAGTCCATAGATCTCATTAGAGCCCCTTTGGGTTATAGTGGAACTGGAGTTTTGCATCATGGATGTGTATCCGACAAATTTGCAGCAGCTGTGTGATGTTATCAGTAAGTTGGCTATATTTCATACTGAATATAAACAAGATGTACAAATTCACCCCTGTACATTAGTGGCTGTCAAAATGAAATGCTTTTGTATTGTTGCGACACCGAAGTAGCTCATTGTTAATGATATTTCATGACAATAGATTTAACAAGATGTCCTGTTCAAATAGCAAACAATTATAATCACAAACAGGTCACAGTTTTCCATGTCCTGTATGTGCACTCTTGAAGACAAACAACAAATCTTAGCTTTGAGAGGTTTCCAGGCTGACCTCAGCTGATTGGCCTTTAGTGGTTTTCACATATGTAGATCTGAAAAGAATTAGGTGTACCAGATTCAGGTATAATCCACTTTGATTAATGCTCCACGGAAAGAACACAAGGCAATCTTTGATCGCATGGCAATCAAGACCCTACACCCCATTTATCATATAAAAAAAGAGAGAGATTGCTTTAGAAAAAATATGGAAGCAAAACAATGCACAGCATGAATGATAATCAGTCAACATTTTGCCCATGATTTTAGTCAACATCTCATTTTCTTCTGTATCACATTTATAAACCACAATGACTATTTCTGAGTGTTTTTTGTTTTGTTTTTCTGCAGTTCCCGTCATGAATCTAATGATGCAACAGCCTCTAATCACACATCAGGGCTCTCACTGATTATTCTGCTGGTTTAATAACTTGATAAGTGATCCACTTCGCCTTGCATTGCTCTTTCAGACATTCAACAAACAGACGCAGTATTATACACACAAACTCAAATGTAATTAATGTGCATTTGTTTCTCGACCCATCAGATTGACTTGTTGATGGGCAAAACTCTGTTTGACATAATGTGGCATTGACATAATGTGTTAAACTGCATTTGCCTGGTGAATGTTTATGTGGGGACCAACAGCTTATGTAAGTTCCACATTCACTCAGTCAGTGAAGGTCCAAACAACACCCACGGACCAATTAGTGTATCTATTTGTTATTTCTGAAGAGATGCTATTCTTGTATTCACGTGTGTGTGTGTGTGTGTGTGTGTGTGTGTGTGTGTACAGTAGTGGCCAAAAGTGATGTCCGGCCTAGAAAAAAATAATATTAATATAAATATTAATAACTGATTATTTTGTAGTCAATGTATGCTGTTTTCCTACATTATTTTGCATAGTTAAATAAAACCTGTAGCTGTAGTATGCCATGGGGTTTTGGCCAATTACTTTTGTCAGATGTGTTTTATTCTTCCCTCATTGTTAAAATATATATTTAAAAAACTAAAATATTTGGTTTAATGAAGGGTCATTAAAAACAAATATCTCCTCCAGACATCAAGTTTGGTCACTAAATACAGTAACATACTAAAACTCATTTTAGGCCATATATTTAATTTTTTTTTAACTTAATATTAAATCTGTTGTTCATTTTATAACACTTATTGTTTGTTAAACCTATGCATAATAATTTAAAACTGATTTATGTAGGCTTTTTTCATATTTATAGTGTATTAGTTTATAGCATAATGGTTTTCTAATATCTCATACAAGAACAGAACGTTGGTGAATCTTCGTAAACAAATAGAACCATTAATCAAATGAAAAAGCAAAGTGGCAAAAACGAGGTAACAAAGAGCGACCCCTTTCACGCGACCCTGCGATGTTTTCGCTCCAGCTGTGGTTTGCGTCAGCGTGACGTCGGCATCCTCATAACGCTCGAGCTGAGCAACATTGGAGAGGTAGCGCTGCAAACCCACACGAGTCTGACGAACACCTGCGCGAGATCAACCAGGCTATAAAGGATGCATCAGTCGCTTCTTACTTTCGATCTCCAGACTTTTTTTTTAAAGCGTGCCAGTCAGACTGAATGAAATGTGGAGTGTGCGTTGAACTGGATAGGGGCGTTTGAGTTTCATTCCTTTAAAGATCTGGACGCGTTTCTGCGAAAAATAATGAATGACATAAAAGTTGCAGTTCTTGGTTCCGATGGTGTCGGGAAATCAGGTATATTTATCATTTGTATTTAATCAAATGCTTGTATGTATACACATACTTAGTTGCTTGTATGTGTGTTTTGTATGTTTCATCTTTATACTCCTCTTCACATCCACAGCACTGATTGTTCGATTTTTAACCAGGCGATTCATTGGAGAGTATGCATCATCATCAGGTATGTGTGATATTGTTTTCAGATTGCATTTTCGCCCCTTATTAATTTATGGGGTGCATTTGGTTTGGAGAAGTGTACAGAAATACTGTATGAGGTATAAGCTGGAATCTTTTTTTGCTGATGTGATCTTCTGTTCTTGCCTTTTACAGAATGCATTTACAGAAAGCACATGTCTATTGATGGAAGACAGCTCAATCTTGAACTTTATGACCCCTGTTCTCAGGTATGTGGACATCTAGCTGGAGCAATCAAGCCAATAACTTAGTGTCCTACTGCGTATTCCAGTGACATAACAGATCTTTCTTTAAGATCACTTAACCTTTGCCTGTTTGAACAGGTAGACTGAATTTCATTGTAAGCTAAGAAAAACATGTTCTATACATGGATTGTAATGTAAGCGCCTCATCTTTACTAGTCTTGACTTTTCCCAGAGACCTGGCATTACCAAAAACGTTTAGTATATGTTTCATGTAGAAAGCAAGTGTTGGCATTAATGTGTATTGCAGAAGGTTTTGCTGCTTATAAAATCTTTCCACAAGCACCAGACCAATCAGCTCTGCTCACTGTTCGCTTCATTATTCTTTGGAAATAAACCTTATATAACCACACAAGAGTGATTTAATATGAGATGAAGCTTTGTCCCCTTGAGCTTTATATATATTATTGGTGGTAAAAATGAGGTAAATACAGACTATGAAGAAGGCTGTGTTTTCCTTTTTGACAAAATCCAATTACTGAATCAGTCCTGTTGCCCATTATGTGATTGGATGCCATCTGTGCATCTTGGGGGTCCAGTCGATTATCCTGTTTTTCCTCAAACAATCCCATTTTGTGTAATCAGTGATGTTTAGTTAGTTAAATGAATAGTGCTGTTGTAAATAGTTTGTACACAAAAGGTCAGTGTTTTTCCACACTAAAATACTATTATATAGGCTACTATTGAAACAGTGAGTATTTTAAGTTTACAGATTGGCCCTGTTCACTTTCATTTTAAGTGCTCCAAATTTTTGCATTCAAACTTTTTTGGTTCTCCGCATCGTGCCTCAAATGCTATCGATTGAGCTGAACATGCATGGAGCTTGTAATGTTCCTTTAAATACGTAATGCACATGTGATTTCTTTGCAGCCGTGCGAAGGGAAATCCACTCTGAAGGAGCAGATCCACTGGGCTGATGGTTTCGTGGTCATTTACGACATCAGCGATCGTTCCTCCTTCCTCACGGCCAAAGCCATAGTGCACCTGATCCGAGAGCTTCACCTGGCTGGGACTAAAAGGTAACGGTTCTCTAAGTTCACAACAGCATCCTCAGGCAGCAGATGATGTGCCTATTTCTGTCCATACTGTACGATTGTTGCTCTTATGTGGGTGTCTTTAATTCACCAGCTTGTGTTTGCATTGAGGAGTGTTGTTGAATTGACTATGTGGGTGATGTTGATGGGTGGTTGAGCTGGTGACTCAATGAAAAATAGCTATTTTAGTTCATCCTTGGCTATTGAGAATTTTTCAGTGATAAAGTAGATGCACTGCACCTCTCTTTATAACAGAAATAGGTGGACTATTGAATGGGCTTGTGTTTTCAATTAAGATGTATTCATAATTCAGGTTGATTCGTTTTTCATCATATAAATGAATTATGATTTTTATAGAATGAATTTTCCTGGTTTTTATTTTACGTTGGTTGGTTGTGAATTAATTTAAAGCAACATCATGGAACTTTTCCTCTTCGGACGCCCTACTGGTCGGAAATGAAATTGTCCATTACCGCTGTCGTAAATAGTTTAGCCTACCGTCTTTTTCATTTTTTTCATTTCATGTGAGTGACTGGTTGTCCCGCCCTCGCGCCGGTAAACATGTCATCAGAGAAGTGAAGGGATGTCACTGCAAGAGGGAGGGAAGGTTATTTTAATTAAAGATTATGAGGGCGCATGAAAAAAAAAAATTAAACATCCTTAGTAATGTTGTTACTCCTCTGACCCCAGGGACACGGACTCTGTGATCTTCCTGGTGGGAAATAAGCAGGACTTGTGCCACATGCGTGAGGTGGACCGGGAGGAAGGCCAGAGGCTGGCGTCTGAGGGCCGCTGCCAGTTTTACGAGCTGTCCGCTGCGGAGCACTACCAGGAGGTGGTGCTCATGTTCTCAAAGATCGTGCGCAATGCCAGTCTGGGAGGCAAAGCCAAGGAACGCCGCCGTCGCCCCAGCGGATCAAAGTCCATGGCCAAACTCATCAACAACGTCTTTGGAAAGCGGCGGAAATCCGTTTGAGAACGAACTTGGACAATTGTTGCAGGACTGATGTATGAGATGCATCAAACTTGTTTAGATCGCCTCACCGCTTACCGTCTGGGACACACAGTCATTACCAGGTGCATCTCACAAAACACATCTGGGACATGGACACATTTCACCCCAAAGTCAAACGAAAATGAATTATTTCCTTGCTTAAAGAAAATGAAGCCTGATGATTATGATTTTTGCATTGCAACAATATTTTCATGACAATTACGCACCTCAATTAATTACCTCATAAATTCTCATTACCGTAATGATTTCTCATTGTGGTAATGAGAAAATGTGCTGAATTGTCACAAATAAATTGTCACAATGCAAAACATAGGCTTCATTTTATTTATGCAAAATACAATAACCTATTTTTTTACGTCCGTGTACAGCTGCACATCTGTTCTTTGCCTTAAATGTTTCTTTAATCACTTCTTTTGATGTTTAAACAGAAATACTAACCCTTAAATTGTGAAATAATGTTAGCTTGCTATGTAGTTATTGATATGTATGATGCCATCAATGACTGACTAATAGTGTTGTTTATGGATTTTGAAATCTCTTCAAATTCATGAAAAATATAAACATCTGTGCATCAAAATGATGTGACCGTACTGACCAAGCATCTTTTCATCTTCTAGGATTTCACATCTAAAGGTATTTGTTTCTACAAAATTGGGAAACAACTGACCTATGTCCGGAGCATAAGTGATAGATATGCAGTATTGAATATTTTATCTGATAGTCTCACAGAAATAGCATTATCTTGAATGTTGTGCAACCCAATTGCTTCAGGTAGCAAGTTTGCATTTTACAGTCGGGAGATAATGTAGAACAGACTCAGATTTTGGAAAGAAACAAGCGATGAGTCACTATTTGTTCTAATTTTGTAACACAAATTACCTAATACATAGTACATGCAGTATTGTGCAAAATGCTAATTACTTGTTTTAAATAATGTGTGTAATAGAATACACAGTATGCACTATGTAGCCTACTACTATTTAGTAATACTATTAAAACTGTTTCAAAAGTAAACGGATGCTATTAAAGATCAATTGATGTGGCTTGTGGTTCATTCGTTTTCACACTGGCAATGGAAGGTCATGTCGGATGCATTGCATTGTGGGATTCAGTATTCTATGCAGTGTGCTTTGGTTGCATACTATATGTTTGTCAAAAGGTGGGTATTCCATGCACACAAAAATGTTGCATACTATTTCTACAGAAACACACAAGTAGTAGCCTACTAGTAAGACATACTGCGAAAACCAATGTGATGAGTATGATGTAGTGTGTAGTGCATACTATGCATTCAATAAGTTGTTAATTGAGTAAAAACCAGCCAGAACAACTGCATATCAACATCCTGCATCCACCCAAGTCATCACACAACATTCGATTTTTCTACAGAAAAGAAATATTTTATATGCAAAAAAATAAATAATCAAAATTAAGCATTGTTCTGAAGCTATAAACTAAAAAATAAGATTGCATACTTTTGGCCTTCTTTTTAAGTACTTCTCAGGAATATACTTTAAAATACAGTAAAGTATACTTTGACTTAATATTGACAAAGTTCATGTACTTGTAGCAGGCAAACAGATGAGACAAATTCTCATGCTTTTGTCAACCGTCAAGGCCAAAGACAAGCTATCGTGCTTTTCGGTGGCCTTTTGGACGTCTGGCCAACATCCAACAAGACAAGTTTCCTACATCAGTAAGTAATGCTGTGTAATATTTGAGTCAGGTTAAAGCAACACCAAGTAACTTTTCCTCTGTGGTCGCCCTACAGGATGGAAGTGGAATTGTCCATTCGCGCTGTCGTAAATAATTTCGCCTACCAGCCTACTGTTGCACACTCGTTGTTTATCCAGCGCCGGCTTCAGAATGAACGATGTCCACAGACAAGGTAAAGTATGTTGCATGATTTCATGAAAGTATGATAGCGATGACAGAAACAAAGAAAAAAACTATTTTAATGCTTGACGTAAAGCAAGTCAGATTTGTAGTTTTCTTATGTTTCATTAGAACTACAGAAACGCGACCCGATCTGGTTATACCAGGTATAGGGCCGCAAAGTGAATCCAGAAGCGCCTTTCACCCTGTTACGACTTGATGAACCACTGAAACGATTTTGGAAACATTATTTTAAGGTAAAAAAATCTTACTTAGTGTTGCTTTAAGTGTGGATTGGGTCTCTGTAGTTTTCACACCTGAAGCGAAGATGAGAAACCTCTATCAACATAATGGAGAGGAGCAGATGGCTGTTTGTGTAGCATTGATTCAAAGGGAGATATGAAACACAAAGTTTTTGCTTATGGGGGTCTTGTCATCACGTATTGATTCTTGGATAAACACTCAAACAGCTAAACGTGCTGGGAATTTCACTTTTAAGTCATGCTTTGTGAACTCCCCCCTCGCCTAAACATGTATTTTTCACTTACCATTATAGGTAGGATGTCTATGTTGGGCCTGTCAACCTATCAGAATTTAGTTGTGTTTTAAAAGAAGTGTGTAAGTTTAGCACCTCTAGTGGTGACAAATGGAATTGCAATCTGTTTGTTTGGTGGCTCAGTTTGGCCCAACATAATAACATTCGCACTGGTGCGAGATGGGATGAGGCAGCCTTTTTGTCCAAACAAAGGAGGACAGAGGAGTGGTGTGAAATTAGTTTGACAGCAGTCTTTATTCTGAAGTGATTATTCTGTTTGCTGAAGCTAGTTGAACAGAAATACATCACTTGAAGTCAGCATGAAACAGAAGTTTTATTGTGACATCTATCCGAGTGAAATGGCTTCTCGAACAAGAAACAATTTTTTGAATTTTGTCCATCGGGAATTGATTGGAATCATTGTTGTTTGCTATTACAGTGATCTCGTGCAAGTGACCGATTGTCCCGTCCCCATGCCGAAAGACGTCATCACGTGTGAGGGGGAGTTATTTTGATTAAAGATTACGATGACAAAAAAAAATGAACATAGATAAATCATTTAATAGCAAAATTCCATAAAAATATGAATAGTCAGTTTTGATTCAGAACGTTGGCCTCTATCGCCAATTGTGGTTGAAACGTAAATTGCAATTTACTTGTGGAGTTGTTATTTGACATCAGTCTGAATCTGGTATTTCAGTAATGGAATTATGTTAAACACCTTGGCTTGCACACATTTCATGTTTGAATTTAGTGATAGGGTTAGGTCTATGATTTTAATGATCTTAACAGTTACATGATAAGGCTGGCATCAACCCACCTGCATTTTTCTGTTATTCACACTTCCCTTAGTTTTAGCTGGGATTAAAAATGGCTGCACAGTTAGTCATCGCAATACAATGTTAGTGGTGCAGTCAACAGTAAAAAGAAAACAAACGTGCTGTCATACCTCAGACTTATCCTCCCACCTTAAGCTCTTTAAATTTGGTCACGAGACATAATGAATAATATTGTTTACCACAACATGTTCTCGTATCATCATTGACCCAGTAAAGAGGCACTGACAGCATCTGGCGCAGACGGAGTGGATTGGTGGTGTGTGTTTACATGTGCAAACTTGTGGAAGGACGAGCAGAAGAGAGGTGTTGCTGGACGGAAAGCAAGCAACTGGTTCCGAGAGATTTGCTGTCCAAACCACACGTGAACTTGTGCGTGACCCCTCTTCAGGTGTTCTTGGCAAACACTGAATATTTAGCGATCTCAACACCTGACCAAAGCAAAGAGCCCGGTCCGCCCCTGCACGCAAAATCACCTAACCGAAATAGACCGTGTACCATTACAGATGGAAACCTTCACAGGGAACGACACACGTTGAGCAGGTGTGCTGAAGAATGATTCTCACACTGCTTATAAATGAATCATATTTATATATTAAAGGGTAATTCCACCGGTCGAGACATGAATATGTATGGAAAGTGGGTCATATAAGTAGTAGAATAGTATCATAAATTTCTAATTTGGGTCCTTCTTGGCCGATAAAAGGCAGAAAATGACTTTTTAGTGCTTGTGGATTGTAGACAACAATCCCCAGAGTGCATTGTGGATAATTCTGCAAGCGATAGTGTTCAATAACAGGGGTGTTAATGAGGTCAAGTCAGCAGTATTCAGCTGGTCCAACGCATTCTCATCCTTTAACGTCATATAGAACGCTAGTGACAAAACGGCGCTATACTACGCACATGGCACCCGTTATCGTTAATATAACACGTGCTGTGAGGGCTAAGTTTAGGTGTGGGGTAGGGTGTACGTGTCATATTCACGCTAAAGGATTTATAACGTCTTGGGTTCGCGTGTTATATTAACGATAAAGGGAGCCATGTGCGTAGTATAGCGCCGTTTTTGCATATAGCGTTCTATATGACGTTAAAGGATGAGAACGGGCTGGCTGGTCATGTGATCTCAAAATGGCTGCCCCCATGAGGAGACCTGCTTCATGTAAATAAAGCAGCTTTTATTAGGATACAGATCTTTATTTTTTAATGCGTAAAAATTAAATTACTAACTGGACCCAAACAAAACAAGTTAGTATTTGTCTATAATCACCTACATTACATTTGTAGCATTCTTAGTTGTTGATTAGCTAACTCATTGATTGTGGATAAAATATGGACCTGTATATAGACTGGGACATTGACATAATTATAAAGACACCGCAAGTATGAAATTGTGAAGTAAAAAGACTGAAATAGAATTTTTTTATAAAACATACTTCAATAATCTTTTGTAAAACCTACTTCAGTAGGTTTAATTGACTACTTTTTTACAGTGAATATTTGTGATACATGCTCTATGCTCAGTCATGCAGATGTAATCAGTCACTCATTAGTGTACACAAGCCATGCTAATGAACGCTAGGGCTAATTAGCTATTAATTAACAGCACATCCACTGGAATTCAGACCGAGAATTAGTTGGCCTTGGGAATTCGTTCACTGCTAAATTGCTTATGTTAAGAGAGACACGAAATTGTATTTTTATTTCCACCGTCACTGCACCTTGCGTGTGCGCTCTTGCAAAAATAACACGTTCCCTGAGAAGGAGATGGAGAGAAAGTGCCATGCACACCATAAACCATAATAGCTGAAAGCTAATTCATAGCTGGGCCAAGGGATTATTTTGCAGCAGCCGGCTGGAATCTCTTTGATGGAATAAAAGCCTAACATATGGATCTGATTAGCACAGGCGAAAATGATTCTTTGATTCATTTCTGCACGAGGACCCAGTGCTTGTGATACTGATGTCATAGTGTTATGTTTTTAAATGCGTCCCATTCTGTCTATCAGCTAAGTCTGGATTAATAGGGCAACAGATTTTGGCTTTCACATCAAAAAGATTGGACTTTGTTGTTTTATTGACCCACATTTCATGCATTAATACACGTGAGCCACATTCATGCATGTTGTATTAGTGGCACGTGAAGCTGATATATGTTAAGTTCAGTGGGAGGGTGATTTGTTTAAGACACATTATCACGTTAGCGCACATGTATGGAACGCAAAGTGGAGACTTTCTACGTGCTCAGATGACAATAGGAAGATGGAAAGCTTGGTGGGGAATACACAAGGAGAGATTACAGATTCTTTAACTGTAGTGCTGTTAAATTTATAGCGTAATGACGCTATAAGTTCACATACTGGCTTTACATGGTTTCTAGCTGGTTGAAACTAGTCATTTACTAGGATCTTCGTCTGTTTCAAACTTGTTTAGTTGGTTGATCATCTACTACATTACCTGAAAGTAGGGCTTGAGGACCCAAGAAGTCAAGGTTTAGCTAGTTGACCCATTAAAAAGTTGGCCTATGTGTGATGAATGCATACTATTGCCCTAAAAAATAGGACAATTAAAAACGTATTTAAAGGGATAGTTCACTTTGAAATTTTTTTTGGTATGTTTTAGCTTACCTCAAGGGCATCCAAGATGTAGGTGTCTTTGTTTCCGCAGTAGTTGCAATTTTGATATTTTTCGGTCAAACCGTTCTTGTCTGTCAGTCATATAATGCAGGTCTATGGTCACCACCTTAAAGAGCATGCACAGAGAAGTCCAAATTAAACATGATTTAATGAGTCCTAAATGTAAGTACACATTGATGGCCTAAGACAAGAAACGAGCGTTTTGTGTGAGAAAACGAACAGTATTTATATCTTTTTTTACCTCTTGTTACCACAACAGGTAAAAACTATATAAATACTGTTCATTTCTTTCAAACCCTTTAATATTACAGCATAGTTCTTGCCCTATCACAGCAGTGGCTTTAAAAGTTGAAAAGTTAGCACACTTGTATGTTTACAGACACCATAAAGCCCTCATACATCTTACGCCACTCAGGTTTAAAGGTAACTTGGACTTGCCCCACTAGCTGCATTTAAACTACCACACTGACGGGAACCAAGCACAGAGATGGCACAGATAGCCAGTCGCAACTGGAGCGTACTGCCACAGCCACACATCCAGACTGCAGGCATGTGTGCTGAGATAAGGAGCAGTGGCACTCGCCGGCCCGTTACAGCAACCTGGCTCAGGAATGCTGGGAATGTAGCCGAGAGTAACAGAATAAAGACGGGCAGCCTGTAGATCTGAGCTGAGGCTTCACTGAAGGCCATTGGTGGAGGAACTGGGATGTTGTTGATTTTTGTCTTCTAAATAACTCCATGGAGGTAAGGGAGTTTAAATAAACCAAACATGTAAGATGGGTTATGTAAGTGTGTTGAAGGGCCAAAGAGTTATTGGAGCTAAAGTGTGAGCAGTCCTATCCAATTCTGCCATTCCTGCCAAGTCTCCTCCAGGACACAAAGTTTACTTTCAGGAGACCTTGTGGGACTCCATTCTTCTCCAGGCCCCAAGCACAGCGAAGCGGAGGGAGGCAACAGTGCAGAGATTATAGCAACCCACTCACACCCATCAAAAAAATATTATGTTCCATTCCTGGCGAAAATGAGCAAGCAACAATAGCAGTGCTATACCTGAGCGTATCAGTTATTTTGGTACTATTACAGACAACAGGTAACAACAGACAATTTTATGTTGTGAACTGAATAAGAATTTGAATCTGATAATTGGAGGAATAGTCTATGTTTGTTTTATCTTGGACTAAACAAATATGTGAAATATGTCTGGTTACATAATGGTATTTACTGAAAGAAATCTGGAGACTGGTTTTGGCTCCTCAAAGCTTTGGTTTGTTCCTGTTACAAAATTTCCTCCTTCCTTTTAAATGCGCAGGAGAACAAATAATTTATGTAATAGTCCTCATTCCTCATGTCTTCATCTCTTTTTGCGCACAAAATAGCTGTAATTGTGAGATAAGGGATCACGTATCTAGGACAGTTACATGGCTAATCACCAAATAAATTCAAACTTGGAAATGAAAGATTTGCCTGTAAATGAACTTAAAGAAAAAAATAGTCCGCTTTAATGTACAAAACAATCAGCCATGACATGTAAAATGGACGTAAAATGCAACAACATTACAGTAATATTAATACTATATTACAATAATACAATATTAATAGCTGAGAAAATGGCGTCAGTTTTGCCATGAGTTCTGGGGTAGGCAGGGCCATGAAGGATGTTATATCCTTCATATCACGGGACACAGAGTATGCATTTCAAGGCTGCATTTGAAGGAGTCTTCGAATTGGGACAGCCTTCGTCGCGCAGCGGTGACTCATTCGGCTTTTGAATGTGGCCCTTAAAGGATGCTGCCTGGTTTATCGGCACTGTAAAAATGAATGCGCTTTATCTAATAAAAAAAATTGTGGCAACAGATTACAAGCAATATTATTATTTCAATTTAACACTTTAGAATTGAGTAATACTTAATCAAACTCATTCCTTAAAAGTTAACTATTTAAAATGAGTAAAACTTCCAAAAAAAAGTTTGTTTAAGTCACCATTATGGTGATCGGTGTTTGGGGAAATCCGAATATAAATCAAGTATGTTACTTGGTATGTCATTTGTGTGACAATGGCTTTGTCTATCCTGCAGGTGAGCGTTAAGGATTGGTTTTTAAAAGTGTGACTGTTTGGACCATTGAATGTATCTGTGGGCTGTTTATACTCTCCTTTTTAAAATACTGTACTAACATACAGACACAGATTTAAACTACTGATTTAGGTTATGTTATTAATCAGCTCCTCCTAGCATTCATCAAATCTATCAAACATGATAGCATTATCTTTGATAAATGAAATCAAGGCATATTCATTTCAAAGTGATCAGTCGTTATGTTTTTCATATACTTCATCTACACTTTTGAGAGGTAAAATCACTGTTGGCAGTGTTTTGAACACTTAAGGGCACTTAGAAAGAACATATATGGCCGACTTCCATTTTATCTGAATGCCAGTGACATCCTAAGTGCACTTCTGGCATTAGCGAACAACTTCTCTGATCCTGACAACTTCCACCTTGTCTGTTAAATGCTCACGTGGAACTTATCACGAAGAGATGATTTCTAGCATTTTATCCCTAGGCATATTTGTGTCTATTTCAGAAGATTCACCAGTATGTTAGCATATGTTTGTGCAATGTAGTTCATTATACTCATATTACTCTTCAACGTACTCTTACAACCGTTGGCTTTTGCCAATACATGGTTACATGAAGAACCTTTGACATCTTGACAACTTTTTTATCTTTTTTTTTAAGTCAGTTAAATTTAATTCAAGTTGAAATAACTTAAACATCCAACTTAAAAATCTAAGGCAGCAACTAAAACCCCATTTTGGAAGCTTTACTTTCAAGATTGCGGCCTGAGCTAGAAATGTACTTGCAGTTATTTGTGGGGTTTTCTTGGATTTCTTCTAGTTTTCATGGTCTACGGCTCAGCATTGATGTGTATTCTCAGCTGTCAGTTTAATTGTGGATAAGTGTGTCATGACCAAAGCAATATACTCTCATGGTTACGGTTAAGACCCTTTTGACACATATGGCTGGAAAGAAATGAGTCATTGGTTATAAGTAAAGGATTTTACCAGTATGTGACATTTCAGACCAGCTTGGCATATATGGCGTGTTGTTGTATATAAGACTCATTCAATCAAAGCACAGACTTGTCAGCCCTAATCAGACATTTTATTGGTTTCTTCAGTATTCAGCTAACAGTTCATGGATCTCTTACTAAAACCGGTGATCTCATCACAGAGAACTGATAAATGTGACATGCTTTAACGTGATTGTTTTTTTAAGTGCAGTTTCTGCATACCTAGCCATCATAAAACTGAAAAAAATACTGGACGTAAGGAAAGTCTTAGATTATTTGATATTCTAAAAACATTATAACGTTAAAGTTCAGTCAAAGTAGTAATAAATCAGTACAAGATTACTATATGAGACTATGTTATCACAAAAGTTTGATTGTAACTTGTAAGGTGCTGGCATGATGGATGAGATGAAAGATATTTTTTTTTTAATAAGACTCAACCTTTTTGTCCAACTTATTGGAGCCAGCATGGACGTGTCCAAAGTCAAACAATTCCCTTCAAATCCCAAGATGCAACATGTTAGCGCCATAGATTCCTCTAATCTCCGGCCAGTCTGTGAAAGCAGGAGTGTGCGCACCTGGGCTAGGTGTGGGTAGCCCTCATTCTGTGATTTTTATACTGGGACAGTGTGTTGTTTGACCCTCATAGGCTGGTTCATTAGTGCAGTATGCAGTACATAGACAGACACAGTCTGGGACTGAGAATATGCTCTATCCTCATCTCTTTTGTTTCAGTTCATTTCCCTTCAGCAGTAGGTTTGAAGTCTAAAAATTAGAAGAATTTTTGTTGCGTGTGAAAAATTCAAAGAGCTTTTGGAATAATTTGTTCAAATGTGTTTGAATGAAACATAGAGACACCAGAAACATGTGGAGAATGTCAACTGTGCATCTTTTTAAATCAGATTTCTTTGCTGTGGCATTTGAAATTAGGTATATTATAATGGACTTTTATGCAATATTATTTTTTAAATATGATATGAGAAATCCATAGATTATTTTATTTATCAGAATTGACATCTAAGTTAAATATGTTATATATATATAGGAAAACTAGACACTAAACTGTTTAACATGATCTAACTACACAGTGCGCATGTACAATATAATATACAGTGTAATACAGTAAACAGTGGTGACGTAGCGCCCTCATGTGGAAAGTGAATGATTGTTTGAGAGAAAGGAAGTGAAATGGAATTCAGTATGAAATTATTTTAAATATGCTTATTAACGTAACAACAACACCAAAATGAATGCGCATTAACAATATAGCCTATAAAATAACTGTAACAGTTGAATAAATGATGCAAACACTAAAAACAAAACAAAAAAATTAAATAGAAAAATGTGTTCAATGTGCTGCTGCTATTATTGTATTAGCCTGTTAAATGATAAATTAAGTGCTAAAAGTTTTTAAGATAACGTTTTGGCGTTAACATTTATGGAAAACACTTCAGTGTTGTTTAAAGGTTTGTATTGGCCTACTTTTGTAGGGTCTATACATTTACTTTATTGATCATTTATTTATTTGAATGGTTCTTTAGCTACATGTTTCCGATTTTCTAATGTTTATCCTTTCTGTTTTCGTGCTGGCACTAATCATAATCATCTGCCTTTCTTTCTTTTTCTTTTCTTTTTTCTCTTGGCGTTGAGTAATTTTTGTGCCTTGTCTCTGCTATTCTGTGCAATAATAGTTCAAAACAATATTGCAAACTATCACAGAATGACGCACAAGACGCGAATTTAGGTAACGCGACGCAACATAAATAAGCTTTGCTAATTGGCTGTTCCAGATTTGCAGCGTCGCGTCGCGCGTTTCTAGAGCACGACATGTGAGTCACGTTGCTTTGCATAATGATTCCAGGAAGTTTTTTTTTTTATAGGTCGGCTGTTTCCTGCACCTACGCCACCTTGTTTAACTTACTGCACTCTTTCAGACGAGCTTAATCTATTAAAACGTGTATTAAAACATCCACCTGTACTGAGGTTTATGTAGGATCATGAGTTTCTTGTACCTGAAAGGTGTTGTGTTTTTCACCTTCATACCTGTAGTGCTGAATCTCAAACTTATGGATAATGGGCTCTCTCTGAACTGTACACAAGAGGTAAGATAATGCCAAAAGATCACCAGATAGGCTACCACAAAAAGCGTTAGTGTATGTATATATATTTGTATATGTTTAATAGTCTCTATGTGTTTATTTAGACATCTGATATTTGGCTCTTTGGGAGTTTTAGACTCATATTTGTGTCATCCATTGTTGTTTCTTTCACTTTCTCTCCCCAGAAAGTACCATGTAAAGCAGAGTTTAGTAAGTGGTTGTATTTTTTTCTTTAGTCTTCTCATTAAATGTTTTATTATTAGTATTATGGGTTATACATCTTTTAACTAGTGGTTTTAATGATTTTCCCCCCACAGATAATTGCATGTATAAAGGATGGCTCATTCCTTCAGATTTCACTCCCAGCGGCCCTGATGATTTAAAAGTGTATGTTGACGTGAGAAGAAATATGGAAGATGATTTGGAGCCAGTGATTGTGGCTGAATGGAAAGCAAAGGATGACGGTGGGTCACTTGTTGTAGCAGAGTCGTGTGTTTTCAGATTAGATTAGATTATCATTAGATATGTTTGTTACATTATGTGAATATGGAGAAATCCATTCCAACTCCCTGCAACAACTTTAAAGCAAAGGGACACATACATTGAATGTTTAAACCTATATTTTAGTTTATTAAAAGCTATGATAAAGCTAAAACTTTACAATAAGATCCCATCATACCTTGATACATTAACTAACATTAATTAACCATGCATTTGTTACAGCATTTATTAATCATTGGTCATTTTAGTTAATACAAACACAACTGTTCATTGTTAGTTCAGGTCCCTGAAAAATTTTAATAGATAAAACATTTATTTTAATAACATATTAATAAATGTTGAACTTAGTAAATATTGAACTAAATGTTCTTTTGTTTATGTTACCTAATGTTAGTAATCTTAACAAATGGAACCTTATTGTAAAGTGTTTTAAAAAGGATCTTTATTTATAGATTGTAGTCCTCAAGTTTATTAATCTCTTTTTTTTTCTTTGTTTGCAGGAAGCATAAAGGATTTGAGAGGAACAGAGCTTAGTGTGATGAAATCCTCCACCAATGAGCATCTGTGTGTTCATTTCAATTTCCTGCAGGCATTTTCGAAGATGAGAAATGATCATGATGAAAAGGCAAGATGATTGATCAATTGATTGAATTATTATTATTTTTCCACAGATACTGATGATATATATTATCTATTCTATTTTAGTGGTCTTTTTCTCTGGATAAAGTTGTGGTAGTTCCAGGCAGTAAATATGTAGTGACTGTCTCCAACCTTCCCAAGCCAAATTTACAACACACTAGTTACAATGTTAACCGAACAGTTAATGTTCCAGGTAAGTGCTAAATTAAACAAAATTCCTTGCTTAAATCTACATTACAGATTATATTTGTCACGGTTTGGGTTTTGTTTCTTGTTAATGGTTTTTTTCTGTCATGTGATCCCCTGTTCTTGTCATGTGTTCCCTGTCTTTTGTGTCATGTTGTCATAATGACAACCCCAGGTTGTGGCGATCCTTTGATGCGAACGACCAAAATCTGTATTGAGAGAGGTGAGTTTGAAACTTATTTGCAACTCGTTTACCTTAATCAAATAGATATATACACATATAAACCACTTTAGTTCAGTATTAAAGTATACATGCACATCTAAACATATGAGATGTTTCTCTTAGGGGAAACATGGCAACCCAATATTACTGTGGAGAGGACTACAGGTCTGAATGGCAAGGATATTCTGTATGTTGCGTTTAATCCTGGAGAGAATGCGGAGAAATACAACGTTTTTGTAATGTGCAGTAAGGACCGTGTAACGAAGACTCTTTATAATGTAAGACATGTTATATCTGTATATTTAAATATATCTAAAAGAACAAGGATTAATAATTTTACTCTTTTAGGAGAGCAAGACTTTACTAAATGTGACATATGGCCTGGAGAACTGGCCACGTACATGCTGCAATTTCGATGTTCAGGTGTGTAGGCCTAAATGTGTGCTAAATTAATGAATGAATGAAGTAAGATAATTCTTATATACAAGGATCTTGATATAAAAAGTGCTCTTTTCCTATTTAGATCCAGCCATTTTTTCGGAAGTGTGCCAACGACTGTCGTCGAATAAACCATAGTTGTAACATATGTGTCCCTGGTGTGTATGGAACGATTTCACTATTTGAACTAATAAGAAAAACGCATAATGCCACTTTACTAATTTTTATATATGTTCCTTAGGACCAACAAGCCCTCCTGAGACCAACTCAGTATTTTGGATTATTTGTGTCGGATTATGCCTCCTAATTTGTGGCATTGGTGTTTTTGCCATTTATTTGCAATGCAGGAAACAACAGAAAGGTGAGCAGTGACATTTAAAATGGCTATTTTTATCTTTAAAGACTGTGATGTTTATCATGTGTGTCACAACACTGGCAGTGATACCTTTGCAGAGTAACTTCCTGTGGTTAGCCACACAAGCAGTGCTAGGAGGACTGAAAGAATACATCTTATATGTAGCAAATGATCATTTTCAGTGATTATCCGTGTTTCTAATTTTTAAATTCAGGTGCAGAAAAGCCACTGGAAGAAACACCTCTAGAACCGCCAGTTCTACCCGGCCAACGATGCATATTGATCATCTACTCCAGAGATCACCCTCTTTACACAGACATAGTCCTGAAGCTTTGCGCCTTCCTGCGGGCTAAATGCGGCACTGAGGTTGTGTTGGACCTACTTGACGTGACTTGGCTTGGCACCATTGGCCGGCTGCAGTGGATTGAGCAAAAAAAGCGATACATTGAGCAGACGTCAAACAAGATCTTGGTCCTCTGCTCCCCAGGAGTGCAAGCCAAGTGGGGGGCGATCTGCGGAGAGCCTCGAGTCCTCCTCCGAGAGGATGTGCGCTCTCCGATCGGAGATATGCTTACTCTCGCCCTTCAGCTGATTACACCTGATATGCAGCGTCCGGCTTCCTACGGGATGTATTTGGTGGCTTACTTTGAAGATGTATGCAGTGCCGGCGATGTGCCGTCTTTGTTTGACATTGCGGTCAAATACAAGCTGATGAAGCACTTCGAGGAGCTTTACTTCCGTATCCTGGATGTGGAGAAGTATCAGCAAGGGATGGTGCACTGTATCGAGGGTATTGGAAAGGAAGAGTACTTCAAATGCCCCTCGGGCGAAGCGTTGAGGAATGCGATCGAAGCCTTCCAGGTGCACCAAATGAAGAATCCGGACTGGTTTGAGAAAGAGTGTGTGACTAGCGAGGAGGATGTGAGAGGAGAAACTGACGCCCTTATTGAGGAGTCCATTCCGCCAATACGTGAATTAGTGCCGGTGTATAACAACGGACTCCCAATCCTTGTAAAAGAGGTGGACATCCGTCAAGACACACGGAGCGTGTGCACCGTAATTCCCCAAATTCACGAGAATCCTGAAGAGACGCCCATAATGATTATTAATCCTAGAATCCAGCCAGATAACAGAGAAGTACTTTCCTATTATCCGGCAATAGAACGTCCTCTTGAAATACCCAGTGTGACACCAGTGGACCCACAAATCCATCCGTATCTTCTTGCCGAACCAGTACCGGTGGAAACCTCAGATCCTCCTATCGCGTTTCCAATGGGAGAACCGTCAGATAATTATCTGAAGGACAGCAGAATGCGCTTTTTAGTAGCACCTCCACCCTCGATGGAGGACAGCTTCCATTTATATGGAGAGATGTCCCAGCCAGTGGAGATGGAGGAAAGTGAAATGGAGGTAGCTTCTGAGATGAGACCGTCACGAGGGTCCGATCAGGGATACGGTTCCAGGTATTCCACAGTGAGAGAAGACCCCAAGCTTCAGGAAGACCTTTCCTCTCTAGCCAAGTTACAAATGGAACTTTTACTGAAAAGCCCCATCTCTTCAAATTTCTGCAACAAAACAATGGAGATCTGAATTTCTTCAGTGTCTTTTGGCTGGTCGTCAGACCTAAAACATTCGAACGGAAGGTCAATAGGAAATAGGCTAGATGGATAATGAGTTCAGTGATCAGCTGATTTATAAATGTTTCATCAATAGCAAATTATTAGACACAAACACAAAGGTGTGATTTGTTCACTTTTACTATGGAGCAGAACAAGTACCTTGTTAAACAACTTGATATAGAACAGCACAGCACATGATTAAGGTTATGTTTAGCTACCGAACACAAGTCTAAGTCATTTGGTTGGGCTTGCAATGATACATTTGTCCTGTTTTTCATATTAATTGCTCAGACGAAATGTTTCATAATTTGTATTATATTGCACTAGAGTTACTTTTTTAATAGTTTATTCCAGTTTAACAGCTATAACCATCTACTATGGAAGTTTGTGTAAAATTGTTTATGAGTAGATGTCTTTGGTAATCTTTTGTTGTGTGCTTTTTACTATAATTTAGATAAAGAATCACTTTATTTGCTTCATCAGACTTTGGAACTCAAATTACTTTTTAACCAATTTAACCAGGATACTTCCAGACCCTTGCAGCTGTTACAGTGCAAACAATGTCTTGTGTAAACATAACAGTAACTTAACTTGCAAAATAAAGCCCTTGCAAGAAAATCCTCTGTAAAACGTTGTGGAACAATAGAGAGAGAGGTGGGGTTGGAAGTTGATTTCCTTGTCAAAAAAGGTTATGTAATATGTACATACTTTAAAACCTGTAGTTTAAAAAAACATGCGTAGTATGCGGTGGTATATATTTGTCAGGTTAAATACTGCGCAATGAGGCACAAAAAAACCCATAATGCACTTTCGGCCTGCATATTTAACACGTTTAGCTCACCCTGTACCCCAATCCTCAAAGCACAAGAGTTATATATACTGTATGTTAGAATAAGGATGCACAATTGTTATTAATTACATGTTACACTAGAATATAAAATACTCTGCTGTTTTAACTAAAAGTGACAGGACATGTTTTCTTACTGTTCAACCAAACTGTTGATAATTCACCCTAAAATGAGTACTATGTGACAAGTATAATTTACTCACCCTCAGGTCACTCTAAAAAAACAATTGTTGTCAATAATTGTTGTCTATCTTCTGTTCCACAGAAGAAAGTAAGTCTTGCAGGTTTGAAATGGCATGAGGGTGAGTAAATTATTTTTTTGTGTGAACTGTGTCCATTTAAGGTGGGAAATTTCACTGAGATTTGGATAATAAAGCAATTGATTTGGCTTTGTAGAATGTAGATTTGTGGATTGTGTCCTCTCGCAATCTGTCTATCAGCGCTATCACAATTGTCTTGGTTGGTCCAAATGTTATTAATTGTGATAATCATAACTCATTTACTGGCATGAAAATAGCATCTGGAATTGAGCAGATAAACCAACTGGTTCATGATTTCAAACATGAGGTTCTGTAAAGAGGTAGCCTTGTAAAAACTGATGATGGCAACATGGCTGGAGCAGCAATGGAGTTTGGTCATTAAAGAAGGTTTACAGTTATCCTTATAGATTCTATGCTTAGCCTATTAACATTAAGGAACATCACAAATTCGTATCATATGCCGTTCGGCAGTTTCCAATCCAAAGTACCATTGCCACTGACAGTATTTCAAATAGGAAAGGACTACATCACATTCACAATTTGAAGTGTACACCAAGCCTAACAAGTCACAAGGCATATTTACACTTTTGATAAGTGCATTTAGGAACATCTCTTGACAAGGTGTCTGAAAACACTATAAACATCTGTCTACATTATAGCCTACTAAATTGAGGACATTTTTACATAGAAAACAAATTATACAACATTGCACTTTCCTCAGTTGAATAGTCCTCACGTAATTAAAGTGCCTCACAAAACAAGTGCAAATCAAAGATTCTCGTATCATCAAATAAGCACTGGTTTACAGTCATCCCAATACATTAGGTATATACTGCAGAGGTCAGGTGGGAATGTTTATCATTGGCACGTTGAGTGGTTTGGTTGTAGCACCTGTTGAGAGTGAAGGAGAAGGGATAGTTCACCCCAAAATGAACATTTTGTCATCATTTACTCACCCTTGTGTTGTTCCAAACCTGTATGAGTTTCTTTCTTCTGTTAAACACAAAAGATAGCCTACTTTAAAGAATGTTGGCATTACAGTGGACAGTAGTCAATGGCTATGTCAACCTAAATGGTTTGATTACATCTGCTTTTGTGTTCAACTGAGGGGAGAAACTCATACAGGTTTGGAACAACACAAGGGTGAGAAAATGACAACATTTAAATTTGGGGGTGAATTATCCCTTTAAGGAGAGGTACTGTGGGCTTAAATGTGGATTTAGTTGTATTTGTCTTTTTGATTCGGCACAATTTTCCAAAAAACATCTCAAATACTAGCTAACATGTTTATGTTAGTTCTGTTTCTGTATTTAGGATGTTCTGTTTCTGTGTTTTGTTTCACTTGTTAGGCCTATATTTGCACACCTGTGAAAATTTAATAAGATGACGAGAAACGTTAGTTTGCATATTCATCAAAAACGTAAGGGCCAGGGAGCGAATTATTCCGTTACCTGCAGGGAGCAGATTTCTTAAAGGATTTATTCTCAGTAATTTTTGGCAAATATTTATTTATTTTTCATTTGTTATTTTTTATTATAAAATAGACTGATAAATAGCGAAAGTGGTTGTATCTATTTTAACGCTCGCCGCTACTGTTGCTATGGTTACTTTCGTTCGCGAGAGCGTGTTTGCTATCATTTTGTGGTTACTGTAGGCTACTGTTGAACAACCTCATAATTGCTCTTTTACTAAAAGGTAACTTAGCCAATGTAGGCTACATTTTATTTATTGGTTAATTTTGATTTAATTTTAAATAATAAGAAGGACGTTAGCACCTGCAGTACCTCCCCTCAAAAGGGCTGATGCACACTGTTGTTTGACGTGGCCTCCGGTCAGCGTTAGTTAGTCCTCAATGAACATCTACGACTGAGTATTGACTGCTAGCGTGTTCACATAACCATGGGGACACATGTCATTTTCGGAAACGCAATGGGAGAACTGGGCTGTGTTACCCCCACGTCCACGTGCAAACCTCCGGACACCTCGTAAGGACACGCACTGCTCAACCAGCTCCAGGCACTTACACCCAAGGAAGAAGATGTTCTTGAACATGAAAACCGATATGGGCATTTTGTAAACAAAGACGAGGAAACATCTGACCACCAACAGCGGTGCGTTGAGCAGAACGCCGGTGAAGAACCTCGCCCATATCCAGCGACAGTTCATCTCCGAGGCCGTCAACTCGTAAAGCCAAATAACCGGAACGCCCAATGCGATGAAATACACGGATATGACCGTGTACCTAAGGTATATGTTGGCGATTTCGTTTTTAAGGACCAGTTCGACCAGAGTGAAGCTGTCCATGATGTCTAAACAGGTGCTAATGAAGGAGCCTTGGGAGTGAAAGCGCGTGGCACCGTTCGGGTCTTCAATGATGGAGTTGATGAGGCAGTAAAGCAAAGGCGCGCAGAGCAACATGGTTATTTTGAACCCCGTGATGCCAAATGGCACCTTCAGGGCAATAAGATCCAGGATGGACGTTTCCAGAACGAGCACCACTTTCGGGGTGGACGCGATCACGTAGATGAGCCATGCTAAGTACGCGAAGGTGAACTCCCCGAGGTTGCACCCGAAGATGGAGCTCTTCTGGTGGAAACCACAGGCTCGTTCTCGCTTACTCCTGGCGTTTTTCATGAAGAAGATCGCCCATCCTGATATAACCACCAAATCCGTGGCTATCCACGAGCACCAGTAGAGATCCGTGAAGACGATGAGGTAGAAATCCAACATCCCTCCTTGCAGAACGAGCACGAGGAAGCACAAGAGCTTATAAAACAGGTTCTTCTTGGACCTCTGCACGAACAGGGGGGTGGACTGCATGAATTCGCTCGATGTCATGGTGTAAGACTGAGGCTGAGCGGTGGCAGAGGAGACCAGGGGCTGGGAGCTGCCCTCTTCGAGGTTGGCACTGCCGCTGGTGGTCTGCGTGTCTCTCCTGGACGCGACGCTTCGGATGAACAGCAGCTGTCCGTTTTCTGGTGCGGAGGAGACAGGTGAGTCGGGCTGGGAGATGTCTTTTATGATTTCAGCAGTCATTGTATTCATTCCTTCTCCTCCCGACTTGTTTTGGCTGTGCTAGTGTAATGATAGCCGCTCAAGGGGGGCAGAGGAGGAAATCCCGTTATGGAATTCCGTTGGATTGGAGTGCACATACCCAATCCCTCCAAACAAAACGGATAAAATAGGAACTCAAGTCAGTGAATAAAATGACGTTGATGTTCATTGAAAACATTAATTAATGTTTAAACATCTCATATCCACGTTTAAAATTGTCGTACTGCGTTTAAATATATATAACATTTTTATAAAGAAAATAAAAAACAGATTTTTTTTTTTATAGTCATAAGGTCAATTTCGTAATGTAGATTTCACCAAAAAAACAAAAAAAAAACACACTGTTTGGATTTAAATCGGCAAATGCTCATTATTGCAGGAATTATGTTTCTAGCATGTTATATGTTTGGCATCATTTCTTCTAACCCAATCAGGAGTGTGTAGCTTTTCATTTCTTAAACAAACATGTAGAAAGCAGGGCTGGGTTAAGGATTCAGAGAAAAATTGAAGCAATTGCTTCTTATGTCTTTTAATTTTCTATCATGAAATAATCAGTAAGTAAAGGCTTTTAAAATGATTTTGAAGAAGAGTGCCTTGGATTTTATTTCTAAACTAAGGTGATTTATGATGTGCTTTTTCACAAAGCAGCTTCCAACTCTGTTCTTTTATAACAGTCACATTTGTCTGATGATGTGATGTGCATTCAAGCATGATCACTCACAGAAGCCTGATGTTGGACATCAGAAGCCTAGTATGAATTGTATCCATTATTTATCCAAGTTATTAATGTAGGAGTCAGAGCATTGTTCATGTTAAAAAAAAAATGCATAGCTTTAGTTAAATTATGTATAGGGCATAGGAGCTGTATTCTTATTGCTGATTTTCTTTTAAAAAATGAAGTTAAGATTTAAACAATCTTTTCCTAAAAGGTTATTTTAGGTATATCCTAATTTACCAAAAATTACACCATTTTAGAATATACTTTAGACCAGAATTTTTTTTTTTTAACCCATATTCAACTTTCAATAAGCCCAGAGCATAACTGCTAAATTACATACCGTGATAGCAGTCTAGTCTCATTTACCAAACACCTATTATGGGTAATTGTTTATTGAGAGTTGATTTATGTGTTATTGCAGTAAGATCTTTAAGTTTTTGTGATAGTAAAGTTATGTGTGTTAATGTTCAAGTTAGATCAGATGTTCTTGGTTCATTTAATGCCTAATGTAAAAATATGTCTCTCACAGTCATGGAGAGATGTGTAAGGGAATAGGGCGTTGCCTGAGTAGTTGTTTCTCTATTTCGGCATTAAAAAAGGAAAAGACAGTATTACTGCTTCCTGTTAGTTTATTCAACTAATGCTCCACATGTGGGAACACTCTGGGTCGTGCGGTGTATGGGACACGAGTGTTCTGATCTTATATTAGAAATTAGCTTAATAAAAGTGTTATTAGCGTAATTTAGCTCCGGTCAGACCTACCTTTATTTGATAACTACCAATTATTAAAATTTTGATCCTGTTTATTATTCAGAATGGAACAGTTGGAAAGAAAATATATTTATAGGAATATTATAGCAGGCTCAAGATAATTAATACAGGGATCATTATTCACGGTTTTAATCAATTGGCATTCATAAAACGTTGTGATAATCTGCATTCTCATCTATGGACCTGCGATGAACACCCTAAACGGAAACTCCCGATATGTAATAAGTAGAAAGCGGAAGTAGTTGTGCAAGTTGTCAATTCAAATGAAAATCCACAGAATAATAATACTTTGATAATAAACTTTAATTTCAAGTTACATTGGATGGTTCTGAACCATAGAAAACAAGCACATTTCTGTATAAACATATGCATATCAACCAAGTTCGACAAGAACCGAATAACAATTGGGTGTTTGTGGTTTGACTACTGCCAGCTGAGCTTAATATGCAATACTCACTGAAGCAAAACAGATTTACAATTAATAGACAGTTAAACTGATGAACATTCAGCTTCATATTTGAATGCATTTAAGTCGGCATTTGGGAGCCCAGATTCACAAAATTTCGGCACACTCGGTTCATAGGGACTACCCATGGGATACCACAGCTAATCAGGTACAGCTTAATAACAGGTACAAAAAAAACCTCAGTGGATAATTTAATAGAGTGAAACAAAAGGACATTACACAAGGATAAATGTTACAAGTTGTCCGCGTGAACGCTGACGAGTGCATTTGTGAAATCCAGGAAGCTCACCGCCACCACCACCTCCCACCCATTCAGAATCAGTGCATGAGAAGAGAGATATTTAAAAAAATATCAGAAGCTTTAATAGCCACCAGTTAGTGAAGTCATACACAGTTGCTGTATCCTCACAGTCAATGATAAACAGGTCAAACCTACACTCGAGATAAACTCAGGCAAGGGTTTGCGAGCTATATCTTTCCAATTTCATATATAACTTAGTGTCCTTTCTTGCAATTTTTTAAATTACGTTTGTTTTTGCTCTTTATATTTATTCTAGTACATTAACCAGACATTAACAGACTCACAGAATGGAGAAGGCTTTCTAGAAAATATTTGAGCACAAGAGCTATTTTTTTGTCTTTTGACGTGTGTTTTATATTCATTTATTGTATTTGAAATGAATTCATTGTTTTTAATGGCCTGCTGAAAGGCACTGCCACAACACAGGGGAAAAAAGACGCTACTGCCCATCAGTCACACAAAACAGTCCTGTCTAGTTTCTAACAGGGATAGAAGTAGAGTAAATTGGGACGAGGGTTAGTAGGAGGGAGTTAGCGAAGGATGGAGGGAGCCTTGCTATAGGTACAGCTCATAGTAATCGTCCAGCTCTTCGTGGAACAAATCCCACTCATCTTCCGAGTCAGTGACGTCATCGTCGGTTCCGGCAGCCAGAAGCATTAGGAGCATCTCGCTGAGCTCGAACGTCACCATCTCCTCGTCTTCGTTGTCGAAGGAGTCGCTGTTCTCCCGCTCGTCGAAAAGATCCCAGAGTGGCGTCCTTCTGGAGCTCTGCAATGCAGATTTCAATAATGCCTCAATCGTATGCCAATGATCAAATTTGTTGCACATCATTAAGTAAATTCAATATGCTTTCACGCAAGCCAAAATTAAATCAGCAGTTTGGCATTAACGTCCAAACAAATTAGCCCTTAGCTTTACCCGGTTTCTTCCATTGGAGCCGGTCTGTCTCCTCTGGGGTTGAGGCTCTTCCAGACGGCCATCAGGAAAAGCATGTTTGTAAAAGCAGTTGGCTCCAAACGGACAGGTCCCGCGGCCTTCATCAAAATATCGGCAAGATTTACTCCTGGGTGCGAATATGGATAAAATTAATTAGCTAAACAAATAGATCACAAACCTGCATTTTTTTTTTTCCGGCTTAAAAATGACATCAGCCAAAAATTCAATTGTACCATTCTGTCATTTACTTACTTAAATATTACCCTTAACTAAAGGACTACAAAATCTATATGGACTTCAAAAATGGCACTTCATTGCCATTTAACACCATTGACGCCAAATGCTTCTTGGATTGATCGTGACTAAATGTCAAATTTGATGAGTTACTTGCGGCTATCTTTGAGAGCTATAGCGAAGAGGAAGATTTTTAGTAAATAATGACTTAAATTTTGGTATATTTACCACACAAAGCTATTGTATGACTTCAGAAGAACTTCATGTGAAAAAACAATTATGGTACATATGTTTTATTTTTTTTCACAGTCCCAGCCACCTTTATTTTCATTATATGGACAAAAGTGGCAAAGATATTCTTCAAAAAGTGAGTACTTGACAGAATTTATTTTTATTTATTTATTTATTTTTTTTGGGAATGGGAATTCAAATGTAAAATTGTACCCCATGCCATCCTTGTACTTCTGAATGAGTTGCTGCTTCTCATCCTTGTCCTCCACCCAGTATTCGCTTGGTATGACAAAGTTCGATGTGATTCGACACTCTGGGCAGGACCTGACAGAGAACATATTCATTCAACATAAATTTGATTCTCCCATTTACACTAGTTCTGACCTTTAAAAGAAGAGGTGGACAATTACAATTAGCGATAATAACCGTATAGATTACAAAAGATTTAAGATCACTTCCCCAGAATCCTATTCAACTTAATACACGTTTAATTATCTTAAGTCTTACTTTATGATTTTGCTCTCGAACTGCTTGGCGCTCCGCCATTTCCTGATGCACTTGAGGCAGTAGCAGTGGCTGCAGTTGGAGAGGATGCCAAAACGCCGTTCGCTGGGGTTGGTTTTCTCGAACACCACCTCCATGCACACGCCACACATCATGTCCTTACTACGCTGGATGGCAAATGAGATTTCCATGTCCTTCTCGTGAGCCTCGATGCAGGCCTGCCGTTAACAGGAGGAGGTTTTACTCGAAAATCTCAGAAAACAAAAAGAGGATGAAAACAGGATGTTAATCCACTACTCACCTTGATGTGTTGCGAGCGCTGGGAAGTGTCTGAAGGGTGTAGCACCTGTAGGCCACACATGTCGCACACGTCGCCGTGGAGGTAGGCGCAGTTGAGGCCGTAGCGACATTCGCCAACGGCGGCGTACGGGCAAAGCTGTTTCTTCATTTCTTTGTTAGCTTGATCTTTCTCATATTCCTCTTCGATGAGAGGACCAGGCCCCTCAAACAGCACTGGTTCAGCTGCAGGAGGAACAATTTTAAGGTTTAGCAACCTGAGATAGGAATAGGAAAACAACAACGTATAGCAGTGTGGGCGGAAGAAACCTTTAGCCAATCTAAAGACCAGTTTCGTATTGTGGTCTACCACAGTAAAGCTGAAAGAAAAGCACCTGCTTGCTTGAATGTAACAGCACTGTCCCTTCAGCTCTTTGCTGATGAAATCTCCCTTTATGATGAATGTAAGTGGGTTTGGGCCAGCAAGAACAAGAGAGCGCACTGGTGGAGCACAGCCTGAGATCGGCTGTGTGTGCCGGTCCAAGTATTCATGCTGCATCATAAAACAGCTAGTTCTGGTTGTATGAGCTGCATCATAAAATGGCGATAAATGCACAGCTGTGGCCCACAGGGCTACAACTGCATGGCAATGTTATTTTAGTATCATTTATATACTATTGTAGTATTTATTTATACTTTGAATTGGTTTTTATTTGTATATTTTTAGTCTTTTTTTAATGTGCTTTTGTCATTTTTAGTAGTTTTGTATTTTAAATAGTTCTATTCAGCTTTAATTTATTTTTATTTCAGTTTTAGTCATTTTAGCACTTCAACATATTTTATTTCAGTTAATAGCCAAGGCAAGATTTAATTGCAAGTGTAAATGGCAAATTGTTAACACTTTCAAATAAGGTTAATGCATTATGTATCATAAACTAACAAAAAAACAATAGTTTTACAGTATTTGTTCATCTTGGTTAATGTTAATTTCTACACACTAATACATTTAACCTCCAAACAATACAAGTTAACATTAGTTCCTACTTCCTTAACAAATAGGACTTATCATCAATAGTATATCTACAAATTATGGTAATCTAGATGAATAAATACTGTACAATTGCTGTTCATTACTTCATGAAATGTGGATCTGAACCTGCTAAGTTTTACCAATCAATTATTGCATTATTAACAAAAACGTGTTTAGGCCACTTCAAGCCTAATCTGTGGTGCGTATTTTCGGTGATTGAAGAAGCTGCTTGATGAAGAAGCTTGCCACAAAACTGTACCATTACAGTGATGGCATTATTATTACAAACCAAGGCATTTGTCAAGCAAACTTATACAAAAGCTTTATTGTAAAACTGCTTTTATATTGCACAGTGCACACCGAATGTTTTGCTTATCTGCTGGCACCATGTTTTTACAGATTGTCTTGGCAGTGACAACTGAACATCTTTCCCTGCTACACTCACCCCTCCCACAGTAGGGCTGCCCTGGCACGAACTCGGCAGCATTGACCCAGTCCACTGCCCCCGAGCCTTGGGGCTTCTCCTGGGCGTCGCTCGTGCCACCTGGCCCATCAGAAACGGGATCAGGAGTGCCAGCAAGGGGAGCAGCGGTCAGCGGCACCGACGGCTTAGAACTGGGGACTTCGTCTTGCTTGGCAGGTTTGGTATGTTCATACCTGGGGCACAATGCAAATTTAATGAAAATACAATAATGCGTAGACTGGTACTCTAGCTAAGCCATGGAGTGCAATGAAAATGCACCCCTGGACCTAGTGCATCTAAAGTGAAAACTTCTAGAATATATATATATATTTATATGAAGAGTTCAGATGCAAAAGCCTCTAAATGCCATTTGAAATTTTCTTCTTTAATGATGATTTTTATCAAACTTGTATATTTAAGTTCAGTAATTTCACTTAAATAACAATTAATAGGTAATTATCATTGCCATTTAAGTGAAATTACTGAACTTAAATATACACGTTTGATAAAAATCATCATTAAAGAAGAACATTTCAAATGGCATTTAGAGGCTTTTGCATCTGAACTCTTCATATATATATATATATATATATATATATATATATATATATATTGCAAAACTAGCTTTCTGTGATTTATAATAGTTATGAAGTGTTATTACAGTTTTACTAGTATTAATACCCAAGTGAGTGTTGGGGAATTAAACCCCAATGTACTAATAAGTGTACTCAGATAAAGTATTTTAGACAGGCTTTAGCACATTATAATGATTAAGCAGATATTTTTTCCCTCTGTCTTAGGTGTTGGTGTGTTTCCCACGGGTGTTTTTTTTTCTTTCCTGAAGTCACAGACTTGTGAGTGAGTACCGTGGTGAGTACATGTCTTGTTCACACTTATAATCCAGCAGGTAGGCACTTACAGAATTGATTCATTTAAAATATTTAACATTTAAGACTCGGTTTGACAGCGTCTACAGACAAGCTATTGCTAATTAAAACACCATGGCTACAAAATTTCAAAAATAAAAACAAAACATAAGGGAGGGGGGAGGGGTGGTTAAAGACAATCACCAATCCAGATAGATAGAATTTCAAAATACATTTATCTTAAATAAATGTGCAACAAAAATGACTATACCATTTAGAAATAAAAAGACCACATTATTTTAAAAACTGTTTAATGTGATAGAATCAAAGTATATTGTTATTTACAATAGCCAACAAGCCTGATCACATTGTTATAACATCTGACCTTTATTTGTCTCATTATTCCAAGACAAAACACGCTTCAATGCTTTCCTTAAGCATCCAGAAACCCCTCCATCCTCAAACCACTTGGGTCGTTCATCCCTATTCTAGCCTGGTTTGTGCGCGTGTGTCGGCCTATATGTGTGTGTGTGTGTGTGGGGTCGCATAAATAAACGACACAGCGGTGGAAGCACAAGTGGCTACTGCAGAATGGCAGCATGAACCGAGTGAACCTGACGGCGGTAGCAACAGCAGTAGAAGGAGAGAGAGAGATGCATGTTAACACACTAGGGTTATGTAATTGCCATGCAGTGTGCATTGCGCTGCTCTATTTGGGCTCCAGATTGGTGGAGGTGGTGGGGGGGAGGGCACATGGAAGGAGAAAGCAAGAGACAGAGATAGACACAAAGCAGCATAGAGAATCCATCCATAATGAGCATACATTGAGGCCCTTTCTACGCACACTTAATGAAAGCTGGACACCCTCCCTCCCTCAGAATAAACACAGGAACAATAATGCGGTAAACCCCATATGGGGACAAAAGCATCTCTGCGCCTCCCCAAGATAATCTCAACACTGACAATACACCTCTGTCAGACATCAATCTAGACTCCAGACATCAGATATTTAAGCTCAAGACCCTAAACCACAGGAAACAGTCCTCTCAAGGAGAGCTCTCGTCAGATGTAATGCTGTCATAGGACAGCCTCGGCAAACAAAGACATTCCCATAGTGCCGAGCTGGGGGCAGCAGTTACTATGGGGACACACTTGACTGCAGACAGATATGAGACAAACATTGTCTGCACTGTCTGGCTCGCAGGCAAATTTTTACACTGCTTCGGGTAACTTTGCACTGCATTGGCCAAAGGTGGTCTGTTTATATGTACTTGTTGCCACTTGATGTAACACAAATGCTTTAAATGAAAACGCAACTTGATCTTTTAGAGCTACTTTTACACATCTCCTAAAGAGACAGGACAGGCAAAAAGGAAATTCTCTCTGTTCCGCAGCAAAAAGAAACTTGTAGAGTTATGGTAATTATAAAAAGAGGAATATTAATTAATATATTAATATTAAAGAATATTAATTTGGAGGGGAAATATCCCTTTAAGGAAGTGACAAACTCAACTTGTTTACAGAAAATTCTGCATCTCGTTTGTCACGGACATGTAATGAAGCAACACACAACACTTCTCAGAAGCCTTCCTTACCTCTAATACATTTAAACACACTCACATGTTACTGACCCTCAACAGAAATACAGATTACATTACCTGTGCAGTTATGTAACATCTGCCTAGATCTCGTCATGAAAGTGCAGCACATTTTGAGGATCTACTCAAATGCAATACTTTGCATCATTATGTGTCTTACCTGCAACGGTCCCCAAAAGCACAGGATCCCTTTTGAAAGAACTTGCAGATCATGGTTGGCTTGCAGCTACTGAGGTCGTGTAAATATCGACAGTTGTCACCCTCTTTGCAAAGGCCGTGCATGAAATACCTATAAATTAAGATGTTTTTTGAGACTGGTCAAAAAACTGGAGCCATATGACAACACTCATACAGACTCCACTTTAGGCTTTCACACAACTGAAGGCACGAACAAAGGCTGATATTCAACATAACATAATCAATATGTCATAGCAATAAGCAACAGATCCTAAATAATATGACTTAAGATACAAGATGCGCAGCCCACGTCATTTACTGAATAATAAACAGCACGATTACCCAAATAACCCTTCGTTTTCGCATGTTATATTTGACAACAGTGCTGATGTAAACACTACATATTACTCGTGTTTGAAATCTATCTTGCGTGATGCCATTAGATATGTGGGTTAAAATAAAAAGGTTATTTTGAACAGTCATGACTAGACTAGAATAAAGCCTGACAAGTGACTTGATATACATAAATCATCAAGGCTGACACTGACACATTGGCTGCTGCCCAGACGGTTAACGTTAAATTCAAGGATTTTTATGGCTTCCTTGAAAACGCTTTACTGTCAAACTGTCAACCATATGTGGTTGATGCAGTACCGTGTTGTTTTCACAAACACGGATGTTACAGAGGAAGAAAGGACCGCAAATAGCAGCCGCTGTCGGACTGATCGCGGATCGGTGTGCTACAACAACAAACACACACTCATCTAGTTCAGCACAAAGACAGCGGCGCTATCTGATGCCTCAACATCGGCACACACAGGCGTTTGTGTTTTATATTTGTGACCGTTAAATGTCGCAATAACCGCGTTCCTCGGCTGATCTTCACTAACCTGCAGGGTACGTGCTTCGTCCAGCCTCCGATAACTGCTGGAGCCGCTGTTGACGCTGCCGCTGCCTCCGCCATTGCTGTTTATGTTGAAGCCCCAGCACCCGGATCTTCCGGAGATCGGCCGCTCTGCGCTCGGACATTTTCGGAAAACCGAAGGCGCATTATGTGATCGAGTGTTCTCGGCTGGTAAACCCAGCATTATGGGGGACCCAATGTCCCTACAAAGATGGCAATATCCGAAATCCTTCCAGAATGTCATGTCTTTCTTGTCCTTGTAAGGACATTTTTTGGTCCCCACGACGAAAACCGCTCGTGTGTGTCATGCCTGTTGTCTTGTGACCGTTAAATGTTGCAATAATGCTTGTAGGCCTAAGTTACATGCTGTATTATTCAGAATAGGTCTATATGCTAACAATTGTCGTTTTCATTTTCTAATTCAAGAGACTTTTTGTAAACAATGTAAACAAATTGGTGGTAGGCCTACTTTTGGAGTGATTTTTTGGAATAAAATATTTATCTTAACATGTAGGGCGATCATCATTCGATCTGCGTTCTTAAAAATGTCAAAAGTGTGATTAGATAATCAGTAAAGTCAGATATAACCAATTTGAAGTGATAGCATCTATTGCTTAGGTAACCACTGATTGATTTTTCAATGGCTTTGGCAGAATTACTTTCCCTTTCACTTTATGTAACAACCAGTCACCACTCCTGGTTAAAACTCTATCGAGAGTTTTTCCACAAACAAAGCTAAGGGAAAGAAAAGGGAAAAGGCAGACAGATTATTCAACTTCTTATTTAGTATAAAAAGTGCATATTCATGACATGTCAGATGTAAACATGTTTCTTGGAAGACAGTGGTGAGGAAAGTCCCTCCACCCTCCCTTTTTCACCTGACCTCAGCTCTGTCACTGCAACAAAACGCTGGTTATTTTTCTCTCCTGAAATCATCATTGTGACTACTGTTAAATATATATATAAAAAATCTCATTACTAATCCCTGACATTCCCTTTATTATATCACTAAATTTTTTTTTTTTTCCTGGATTGCTGTTGTGTGCATTGTGCATGAAAATTTTCAATAAAATTGGTCAACCAGTATATCTATAGGCTTCACCGCATATGAAAAAGATATGATAGAATAAAAATTAGAGAGCACTGACTGAGTGTTGCAACAGCTTTAAGATTGAAAACGGGTTTCAAAGTACAAGTTCTTGAAAACGATACCATATTGTCTTTGGTTAAACCACAAAAAAAGGTGAATTTGTGAAAAAGGTGATGTTATGCGTTATGTTATGTGTTCAGTCTAAAGACAAGTAATTTTTCTTTAGGAAGTGACATCAACTACTGGCTAACAATATGCATAATTCAGCGGTTTTAGTCGTTTTCGTTGATCGGTGTGAACGGGGACCGATTTGATGATGTCTGCACACGAAAAACGTAAAGAAAAATCTTTTCCCTTTTTAATTTTTAATTTTTGCATTTGCCCCAGCTAAGGATCCTAGACCTTTCCGGAAATCCATATCCCTACTATGGGCTTCCACACTCATTTGGTAACTTAAATTATCTTACCATCTCTTTCACTCTATCGTGAAATGGTATTAAGCATTACTCAGAGTTGTGTTGTGCATTAGCTGTACTTTTTTTTTTTAACTTCCAGTATTAGCTTCTTGTGTAATACAGTTAAACACCTAACAGTATGCCATTAAATATGACATTTTCCTTCATTTTTGAAAGCATGTGATTATTGCATTCTTTTACCCAAATGAAGTTTTTTCTCATTTAGGGGAAGTTCAGTGTTATGCATTTAGAGAAGTTCTGATAAAAATGCCATTCTGTATTTGTATGTGGTTAATACCATTGCAAGAGTGTCTTCATATAAAGCCATATAATAGTGCGCACAGCAGAGATCAAGCTGCAAATGGACAGGAGGAAAATCATAAAATTCTTTATTGACTAATTTTCACGTTTCATATCAAAGGTAAATGACCATTCATTCATTTTCTTCTTGGCAATGCAGATGTTTAATTGTCATTTAATATTTTAGTGGTGTTATATGTAAAAATAAGTACAGTACATTTCAAAAACAAGGAAATCGTAAATTATTTTTATGTGTGTATGTGTATGTTCATTCAGTTACACATCTAGCAAAATAAATCTCTGCAAATTTCATTAATCCATGGATATTATTTAAAATATAACTAACTATATTTAAAATATTTGTATTTTCACAGGATGTCTTCCACCGTCTGGCCAGTTGTTATCTCATATCTCTTAGTTATTCCATTTAAAGCACATGGTGAACATTTCGGATATTGTTCCAGTGAACACACAAAAGATCTTTCCGATAATAATCTAACAAGGATACCATTACATTTATCAAACAACATAGAGTACTTAGATTTGTCACACAACAACTTCTCCAGCATTGTTTATGGTGACTTGTCTGGTTTAACCCATCTCTGCTTTCTGAAAATCACACACTGTGGACTTCAACACATCTCCCCTGATGCCTTCCACAGCAACCCTGAAATCAAAGTTCTGAACATCTCCTACAACCATCTGACCATCATTCCAAATTTGCATTTGCCCCAGCTAAGGATCCTAGACCTTTTCAGAAATCCCTATCCCAACTATGGGCTTCCACACTCATTTGGTAACTTAAATTATCTTTCCATCCTTGTGATTGGTAGTCCAGATGGTACTTCTCTTAAAGTGGAAGACTTTGTTCCTCTTCGAAACATCTCTTTGAAAAAAATCATATTTGGAGATGGAACGGAACTACACAACTATGAAAAGGGTGTTTTTTCGCAACTCAAATCAGTACAAGAAGTCATTCTCAAAGTGACTTTTTGTCAACGTTTTGACATTTTCAAAGACATGATTCTAGATTTTGACCAAACCCAAACTAAAAAAATTCAGCTTATTAAGTTATTTCCAGACCAGTGTAACATAACGACTGACCCATTTGATGCTTTTAAAGATTTGCGCGTCCTCAGTAACTTAAGCATTGTAGACACCTGGATAAACAGCTCTGTGTTGGTCAAACTGGTCCAAAATATTTGGAAATCATCTTTTGAGGAAATTGCCTTTTTAAACATCACATACAATGAGGACACTCCAGATGGCTTCCAGCTACCAATGCAGAATCACACCTTGAATCTACGAGCGATCATACTCGATGGTGTGCGTCACAATCGGTACCGCTTCACCACTTTTAACATGAGCATGGAACTAATCAACCAACTAACCTACCTGAAATTCTCTGGTACTCCAATGAATATTCTACCATGTAATCTAATTTCAGTCATAAAGTCACTACAAGTCTTGGACTTGTCAAACAACCTCTTGGATGAAAACGGCTTCTGGTGGAGTGGCTGTACATCACACAAAGTGTTTCCAGCCTTGAGGAAACTCTCACTAAGCCATAACCGTTTCAAAGACCTCGCCGAGATTGCCAACAAAGTCACTGATATGAAGTTCTTGGAGTCTCTTGACTTGAGTTTCAACTCTATTTACATAGACAAGACGTGTTTTTGGCCGTCCCACCTGACTGAACTGAGTCTCAGCCACAACGATCTAGGAAATGATGTGTTTCGCTTCTTATCACCACACTTCCAGAAGATAGACCTCTCAAAAACAGGATTAAGTGTCATTCCTTTAAATAGTATATCATTGCTTCCCAGACTAACACACCTCTATATGAGCTTTAACAGCATACAGGTCATCCCGGAAGATATTTGGGCGCCTGCCTTAGTAAGCCTGCACATTGACCAGAACGCAATTACTTCTATTAGCCAGAAAACAATTGAAGCTCTTCCCAAGCTGAAGACTTTAAAAGCCGGCCACAATCCATTTAGCTGTGATTGCGATTCCTTTTGGTTCGTGACGGAGTTGAATAAGTCACTTCTACTAGATTGGCCACAGGATTACGTTTGCAGCACTGCATCATCGTTTTCCGGAAAGCGCCTGGCGACGTATGAGTACGGGTGGCTGTCCTGTCAACTGAGCTTGCAGGCTGCTGTGGTTCTGCTGGTGTTATTTGTGGTAGGAGGTGCTCTGGCCATCACTTTTTATGCTTGTGATTGTGTTTGGTACACCAAAATGCTTTGGGTGTGGATACGAATGAAGAGGAGAGGCTCCAAGAGGTCTAATCGATTGCTCAATGCCACCTTCCGCTACCATGCCTTCATTTCCTACAGCCAACATGACTCAGTTTGGGTGGACTCTCAGCTGGTACCTGAATTAGAAAGGTCAGACCTGTCTCTTTGCATCCATGAGAGAGACTTTGAACCTGGGAAGTGGATTGTGGACAATATAATCCAGTGTGTAGAGGACAGCTACAAGAGCCTCTTCATCCTGTCCAAAAACTTTGTGCAAAGCGAATGGTGCAACTATGAACTGTTCTTCGCCCAGCACAGGGCCATCAGCGTGAATGACGACTCTTTGGTCTTCGTTCTTTTGGAGCCCATACCGACAGACTCTCTGCCCAAGAAGTATCTAAAGTTAAGAACGCTGCTAAGGCAGAAAACATACTTGGAGTGGCCCACAGATGAACGCAAGCAGCGAGTATTTTGGTTTAATCTTAGAGCTATTCTGCAGACCGTGGGCCAGAGTAAGATTTTAAAGGACGTGGCCACAGACATTGCAGAGACATGTCCTCTGCTGCCTGTTAAAGAATGAAGAACCTTAATTCCCTGTCTTTTAATGAACCTACAGGGCAGAACAAAATCTCTATTATTCCATTTATCATTTTCATTTCGGATAGCCACCCCACCCAGAGAATGTGTACTAAATGAAATGTATTCTTCTAAAAGTCTTGGCCTGTGTCTCCACCTACTGTTGAACTTTAGAAATGGTACAGGCCATTGTATTTTTAAGGACAATGATTTGCAAGTACTAATCATTTAAATGTGGACTGAATTAAATATTTCACCATAATTATATGTGTGTGTGTGTGTGTGTGTGTGTGTGTATGTGGGTAATGTATATTTACACAGTTATTGTTATTGTTTGTATTGTTATTTGGGGGTTTAGTGTGTGACAATTTTGAAACAATTCATAAAACAGCTAAAGTGTACAATGCTTTTTATACAATTAATAAATATTGCAAATGTATAAAATTTAAAACATGTGCATGCAATTTTGCTTTAACAAAGCCGCAACGTTATCCAGTAAAACAATTATGAAACATTGTTCACGAAACAAGAAAGGTATGAAAGGTAATGCATAAATACAAATAGTGCAAACAAATATTGCAATACATAAACTGCGTGTTAAATAAAATGTGTTAAATTAAAACACCTGTGACAGCTTGCTCTACAGTTCAACAGTAAAACAATATTGAAAGATCCATTCATTACAAAAAGCATTAAATGCATAGGTCATGTAAAGATATATATTATTTATATATTAATACAATTAATACATTTTCAAATGTATACAATTTAAAATACATCACAGTTTCCTCCAATAAATAATGGAAAATAATACCGTTGAGAACAGAGTTCACCCATCAAAATATACTTCTCTCAACATCTTTATGTAGCACACTACATTACCCACAAAAGCAAAGGTCCATCATCAACTGCGCATGCGCTGAAAAGTCACAACTTGACGCCCCTCCTTCGCTATTTCAATGTAAGATGGTGGTTAGGAGGCACTACCGCTCAACAGAGAGGCTGTAAGAAACAAGGCTTGGTGTTTTCCCATCAAATCACACAGGAGCAGTGACAAGCCACCCGGGAAATTATATTGCGACCTGTTGTGCTAGACCTGGGTCGTTCAGATAGATTGTATTTGCTGTGAATCAATCTGTACAGATAGACAGGGTGAGTATCCCACTAAGGCCTCTCTTGCCCACCGCCTCCACATTCAGCTGCTTTCCTCTCTCAATTCACCTCTAAATACCACATCTCATCCCTCTTCTCCCTCAAACGTCCATTTCTTGTGAAAATTCCTGTGTTGTTGGTTGCTTTATCAGTCTTGACAGGCTAACGTTAGTCGTCTAGTTAGCCGAGTAAGTTAGCCGCTAACCGCACCGTTTGACCGGCTTTTAATAAAATACACTAAAATTAATTCTCGACTCGTCAAACACTGACTTATTTTTTGTTATGCATACTTTGAGACAGTATATAGTATACGTACACTGGTTTTGGTGTATATTTCGCCTCTTGAATAACTTCAATAGGTATTAGCTTAGCTGGTTTACTTCAGAATGGATTGACAAGGAAACAGAATTCATTTCTGTGTATGATTATGTACTTTTACATTGAGGGAATTCCCTTGTAATTTGAGTAGGAAGTTCCTGTTCATTCTTGGTGCAACATCAGTTTACAGATGTGATGGCAAATATTTCGATGACATTGATTGCTCTTTTACTGCAGGTCATTTCCATATATTTTTTTGGTCCACACCCTTATTGTGTGTGACGCGTGTTTCAAAAGGCAGACCACTGACAGGAGGTGATTGCTACTGTTTTTTTTTTTTGTTTGTTTGTTTGTTGTTTTTTTTTTGACCAAATGCACATGTCCTTTCCGCAAACAATCATATGAAGCCAGAGTCTCTCAAAAGACCTTTTTATTTTGTTGTTGTTGTTTGGTGACAGCATCACGTTTCTGAACTATAGTGAATGTGTTGAGTGTGCACTATTAATCCTGTTTTTTCAGGAGTGGGTTTTTGAGCTTACTATGTGCTTTTTGTCTTTCAGCTGTAAGCTTTTTTTTTATGAAGTAGACACGTCAGAAATGAATACGCAGTCATGTTGTTTCAACCCTATATTACTAATTTTTGTTCTTCTGTGCAATGCAAAATGAGATGTTAGGCAGAATGAGCAGCACTTTGGTTGGAAAGAAATGAGAAGAAAGATGCAATCAAAGTGATTTGTGGCTGAGACTGACTGGTTTGAGAGCAGAAATTCGTAAAAGTTTGGATGTGATAATTAGTAAATGATGGCAGAATTGTAACTTTTTCCTTTAACTTTGCTTTTGAATTTGACACAGTAAGTTTGCCAGCTCATTTATTCAGTCATGTATTACATTTTGTTCTTTCAGTAGATGCTTTTATCCAAATGACGTATAGCAGCAATTCATCTTAAAGAGGCGAGCTCAAGCATTTAAATTGACACAAGACAAAACTGCAGCATGCACTTTGAATAAACAGAGCAATATCTGATAAATAAATGATCTGCTTGTGTGGATTCTAATAGTAATCATAGCTGGACAGGGATGTCTAGGCCCAGTTCCAGTGCACTGTCTGGCAGGCATTGTTGGTGCCAGACACAATGTTTGTGAGACACTATATGATCACATCTGCCTTGGTGTTCAGTTGCATAGAAAAAAATTAAGCTCTTCGTTTTTATAGTTTGTTGAAAAATTTGCACCTTCACATTCAGTCCGAACGATTCTGCCACAATCCTGGCAGTACAGGAAACAGTCTTTTAATATCAGCTTTAGCAGGATCTGAAACGATTAAAGTTGTTTTGTCTTAAGCTGTGGGCCATCTCAGATATGTTAGGGAAAAAGGGATGGACCCTTTGTCTCAAATGTTTTTATCGTTTTTGTGCTTTTATTCTGTCTGCCCAGAGTAGCTATTTGTGGTACAGACATATCTTTCATTCCTTGCCGATGCCTTGTCCATCTGCTCATGAAGAGCAGCCCACAAATGGACACGACTCCCACTCTGATGATAATTTCAGCTAGGCTCTTCTATGACATCAGAATGATGCCAGCTGAGACAAGTGTCTGTCTCTTCACCAACTAAGCTTGTCTGCGTACTAGATCATCGTATAATGTTTTTAAGCCTTTTATTTTATTTATTAAAAATGAAACCCCATAATTTTGTAAATTGAGTCTGACAGTCTGTCTTAATGTATAGTAGCGTTGTTTCTGTGTAGTTGACTTAAATTTGTTTGTTGTGTGTAAGGAATCAGATTCTTAATTGAAATCTGTTTCTACTAGAATAGATGTAACCGCATGTTCACCACCTTTCAGTTTTCAGACCATCGATTTGACTGGCACATTAAATTAACTATTTCAGAATCACTTAAAAACGTACCAAAGAATTACCAAGTCAGCCTTCAAAGCTTTATTTTGTGTTGAAAGCTGCAGTTTTGCACAGTTATTTTCATCCTTTGTGTGGTTAGTAGTGTTCTGTTGAAGATGTCTAGACGCCACAGTGTTCCTGAGATTTGCCACTATTTATGTAGTTTCAACTGTTGGTTTTCTATTAAGGGAGGCGAAAGTTTTCTGAATTGTTTTCACCATCAAACATGCATCCTCATATAGCTGTTAGCACTAATCAAGCGTGCCGCACAAGCCCACAAAAGTGAAGCCAAAACTTCTCGATCGCCCCCCTGTGACCGGTCCTAGTATAGGTCATAACCCCCTCCTACCCATGTTATTCAACGAGACGTGAGACCACTAAACAATTAAAATACACTTCACATATCCTTTTTCCAAAGATAGTTTCTGTCATTTACTGTAGTTTATATCACGCTGATGTAATTTCAAATGTTTGTTTTCAAAATAAGTTTGTATTTAGTTAGTTATTTGATGTTTTAAACACGGTGCTGTGACATCATGATTGACAGCTGAGATTGACAGGTTGTCTGTGAGAAGTAGTCACTGCTGAAGCACCAGCGGACTTTTTTTCATAATGTTGACTATGTGGTTAGTAGTTGTATTTACCTTATTTTAACGAGTTACTGCAATCAGCGGACATCATTGGAGACAAAGGCCACTTAAGAAATGTGCGGGGCGTGTGCTTGCAAAAGATTCAGCGAGAGTGAGGGCGTGGCCTTGATTTTGCGGCTTTACTTCCTGCTCACGACTGTGCATGTTTGCTCCCGAAAGCAGACTCAAGTCCCAAGATGTCAGCGCCATATCGGGACACTGGCGGCTTCAGTTCTCTCCGATGGAAAAGAGCGGAGGAGCGTCGTCCATCTTTTTTACAGTCTATGGTACTAATAGTGAGTGATCAGAACAACAAATTCTCAGGCAACAAATAATGGAATTCATTTGTTTTTTATGCTTTGAAGAATTGTGCCGGAGAGTCTCAAGCCCCTTTCACACAGTGCGTTGATCCCGGGAAATTGCCAGAACACCTTCTGTGTGAACGCAAACAAGACCCGGGATTGATACCGGGACTGATCCTGGGTTGTGGACTTAGTAACATTGCCGGGATCAGTCCTGGAACGCGCGCTGTGTGAACAAAAGCCAGGACCAATGCCGTAAAGGGTGTGTCATAGTGATGACCATCCGCGCTGAAGCTGAGATCGTTCACCAGCTTTGTGGAACGGTATGCGCGTGTACATGTTTTCGACGCGTCCATTACACATCTCATCCTGACGTCATGTGTCTTCCCGGGATCTTTACGGGTTGTGTGTGAACGCACTCACAGATCCCGGCAAATCTCTGGCAGTGTGAATGAACCGAAATCAAACAATCCCGGGACAAATGCCGGGTCACGTTATCCGTGTATTTTCCGGAATCTCTGTGTGAAAGGGGCTTAAGTAAGGTGTGGGGAAAATCAGATAGCCTGATGGGACTGCAATTAGCAGTTTGAATGTTTTCTCAAGGATTCAGTATGCTTTAAAGAAAGATCGTTCCACATCGACTCCTACACAAGAGGGCCCTTCAGGTCGTCCTTTCAGCGTTCAGCTCTCACGGCACACTGGGTTAATGTATATATGAAAACATCTACCATCGCCAACACTCAAACATTGTAGGCTTAGGTCATTGTTTGTCCCTACGCTTTCCCTTGCAAACATGTTTGTTAGTCTGTCTGCTTAGAAGAGAGGTGTGGGTAATTCTGGCCCCTTTGGTGGTCAACAATTATAAGTCTTGATTTCTGTTTAACTTAATCCAGTTTGCATGCGTTCACACTTATTTTGCAATCTGAATTGGCGTTATTACTCTGTTCAAAGGTCAATTTTGAGTGACTTTTTATTAAAGTTTCCTTCCAAATTATGCATCTTTCTTTCACAACATGTGCATGTGATGTTGGATGCCAGAAGGAATCAAGCCCCGCTGAGCTTGTGTCTTTTGGGGTTTGTAATCATTGTGATGAAATTGAATCCCTTTTTTTTTTTACGAGAGTGATGGTTAGATATTTGTTATGCATCATTCCCA